AACTAGGGAACGGAAACCGGGTGAACTTGGCTTGAATGCACGTCGGGCAGCCAAGCACCTCATCGGGCTCCCCCTTCACACGTATGCCAGCAACCATCTCATTCTTCACTAGCTGCTGCAAGATGGGCAGGGCCACATGCCCCATGTGCCGATGCAAGGTGAGCCAATCACACTCCCCCGTAGCCGAAGTTGGATTGGAGAATGCCGCGCTCGCAATAGCGCCCCACATACTCTCTCCGTAGTCCTCCTCCGCTGCTGCCTCTGGGTTCTCCTCACCCTTTTGCTGCTCCTTGGTTGCTGCACCACTCTCCTTAGGTTCACTGAACTTGCTGGTCCCTCCAGGTTTGCTCTTCTTGAGCTCATTCTCCTTAGCGCGACCGTTCGCGCCATCGTCGCTACCGACCGCTCCATCCTTGGTGCTGATGCTTGCTGCCACTTGCCTCTCCTTAGGCATAGGGACCACAGGGATCTGCCACATCTCGTTGTAGACATCCCTGTCCTCATGAAGATCCCAATGAATTCGATCGCCAAGCCTCGCGGTGTAGGTCTTAGCTCCCTTCGAGCTCGTGTCCATGCCGGCCTTTTGCCAACCGCCGCACGAAAATCAGGTTGGCAGCAAGGTTGGGCACCCAAAGCACGTTCTTGAGGCCCACCATCTTCCCATCAGCACCCTTGAACATGGCCTTGCCCATGCCTTTCACCTCTGCTCGCTGCCCCAAAGCCGATGTGACATGCTTCACCGGTGACGGCTCGAGTTCGGTGAGCAAGTCGGGGCGAGGTGTCATGCTATAGGTAGCGCCACTATCAATCACCCAATAGTCCAGGGGGTGTAGGGTCACCTTTCCCACAGCTGCTGGCTCCTCAAAGCCTTCATCCTTCTCTGGACCAGCCGGTACTTGCGTCGACACGAAGTAGAATAGACCCGGGTATCGATCGTCGCTCGGGTCCTTGTCGTTGTCTCCGCTCTTCATGTTTGCAGCTCCGCCACCGCGACCGCCACGGCCTCCACGGCCTCGTCCTCTCCCTCCTCCTGCTCCTCTACCCTCTTGGCCTTGAGCAGGGGTCCAACCATCAGGGAGTTTGTAGCAGTCGCGCCACATGTGTCCGCTCTTGTGGCAATAGTGACACTCGCCGTCGAATCGGCCGCGACCGCGTCCGTAGCTCTTGTCGTCGCTGCCGTAACCGCCACTCCTGCGGCCTCCGCCGAAGTTGCTGCCACCAAACCTTCCTCCCCCTCGTCCTCTGCCTCTTCCTCGACCATATCCACGGCCGATGCTCGCTGCCCCAGCGCCATCCGCACTCGCCAACTCACGGCGGCGGAAATCCTCTTGAAGGATAGCTCGCTTCACGTCTTCAAGCGAGAGGCGGGGCAAGTCGCGATTAAGGTTGATGATGAGCGAGGACCATGACTCTGGGAGTAAGGCCAGCAACTTGGTCTTCTTTTGGAGCTCACTGTAGTTCAAATCAGCTCCCTCAAGCCGCGTCAACAAGTCGAAGAATTTCTGCACCCCTTCTTCAACCGCTTCGTCTTCTTCAATTCGTAGTGCCGCCATTTGCCGTTCCAACACCACCGCTACCGCCGCTGTTGCAGGAGCATGTACACCCTTGAGAGCAGCCCATGCCTTTGGTCCTTTCTCTGGTTCACGTTGGAATGGCTTGATGTGACGGATCTGACTGCTCCCCAACGCTTGCCCAAGTAAGAGATAGCCTTGTGCGCTCTTCCGCACCCACGGGCTCTTCTCCGGGTCGTTCTCGGGGCGCTTCTCCGTTCCTTCCATCACCTCCAGCAGGTCATAGTGGTCAAAGATGTTCTCCATCTTGAAGGACCATTCAGCAAAGTTGTCACCGTTGAACTTGTCAAGCCCAAACACCCTAGGCTCATCCCTAGGTGGGCCAAGACTTGGTTGCATGGGCGCCATGGCTGAATCACGGGGTTGGCCTTGAGCTCGAGCTTCTCCACTGCCACCAGCACCTCTGCCACCCCTTTCCTCAGGTCCTGACATTGTCGAAACTGCTCCAAGGGGCTCTGATACCACTTGTTATAGTCACAATAGGCTTGAATGTGCCTAAAACGAAAGATAGAGAGCACAGACGGATTTCTGCACAGCGGCTTCAAACGTTGATAGCGTTCTGCTCACAGCTGCAACTGACTTGATTCAAATTGGATCTGGAGCGTCTTTGCGTCGTCTACAATTAGCAATTTAGATTGCACGATTTGATAAAGAATTGACGACACAGCGTCGGTTTGAACGAACGGTACTATGGCAGCCACTATAGTCTTATAACACAAGATAGGAAGAGTTACGAGTTGGGAATGACTCCCAGCTCCTACAAACCCCAAGAGCCGAGGTACAGTGATGTGGAACAGTGCCACACTGTCCCCAACCACGAAGGGTCTCGAAACTACCCTTCACTAGGGCCTACACCAAGTGAAATGTTACACTACACAAAGTAATGTAACTATCTTCAATATCTTGAGGTGTACCCTTTTTTGGCGAGCTTCGAAATCACTTGAGGCTTGACACCAAGGCTCGGGCTCTTCATCACAAACTCATCCTTGAGTTCTTGATGGGTCTGCTGCACACACCTGCGACACGCCGAACGTTCGACACAGGACAAAATAGAAACCGCGCACGACAAAATAGAAACCGCGCGCGAGACACAAACGACCGCGTAACACGCGTCTAGCGATAACTCGCTATTGACTCGACACACACACTCGACATCATGACTCAACATTCACACACAATTATAAGCATGAAATATATATTATCCCATGCCCTCATACCATTCCATACACACACACATTCACGCACACGGACAACAAGCCGAGTGCAAACCGTAGGGTTGCACCAACATGTGCCACCCATGCGAACTGACTGCACGATATCGCGTGGTGTCTGCGACCTTTAGCACACGCCAAAGTACAGTGCACGTTCGCCGTCAACCACAGTGTACGTACATTTGCAGACGGTGAGCGAAACACCTCGAAACAACCCCCAAAAAAATTGGCGCCAAGAACGGCGACAAAACAGCACATCGCACGAACTGGCGATGGTGTAACCCCCTTCCTCGATAAATGGGCCTGTGCTTCGGAGAAGAGATTCGCACAAGAAATTTGCCCTGTCAGAGCAAATTCGCACAAGAAATTACCCCTGTCAAGGACACTCTGACACAAGCAGATCTGTTGTGTCAGAGGTGTTCTGCTGAAAATCCCCGCAGCACGCTGCGCCTCGCACGACACCACAAACATCCACCCCACCCCACCTTCTCCCCAAACATCCACCCCACCTTCCCATCTGGGTGTTACTTGTCGGTATTACTGTACAGAAAGGGCTCCCTCACATGGGTACAAGCGAAATCATGGCCCTGTTCTGTTGGCGCATTAGCGGTGCTCAACCCTAACGATGAACATTCTCGGAAAGCGCAAAACAAGGCTTAAAGCCCACGTCGAGCCTCCCAAATCGTTATTGTCTCCCGAACCTCTAGTGCGGGGGTTGTACGCGCACTACTCATGCGTGCACAAGAACGCTGTACTCTCAGTGCGCTGAGAAAGTTCCACGAGCTTGGTTCCACAGGCAAATTTCCCGCATGGCCTGTGCGAGCCCTATGCGCTCATGGAGGGGGGATTGAAGAGGCGCACAACCAGTAACGGGCAGTTCCAAACGCACGTTTTGGGGTATTTGTTCGGTGGAATACTCACCCCAAAAACAATCCAACGGCGAGCCAGTAAGACTGACACATCCAGAGCATCAATTCGCGAAATTTTGATTTTGGAAGAGTGCCAGGGCAGTGTGTGGAGACAAATTTTCGGGCAAACGGGAAAAAAAGGTTCGTAGTTTTGTCGATTAGTAAACCCTTCGACGAGGCTGCAGGCCCTTTCCTCTTTCGAGGAAAACGCTGCCCGCAGTACCTGTGCTGCAGTTGCAAATGGCATGTGCGCCAACAGAACAGGGCCCATGATTACGCACATGGGGGGTTATCGGGAGGAAATTTCCGAGAACCTTTGTCCCGATACCCTCACATTCAGGGTCCACTGAACGCGTACTCTACATTGACGGAGTCAGTAAGAACACTACTCTGACCCTAGATACAATTTTTCAGGGTTCGTTAAAGCACTATTCTGAATGGATCAGTGTTCACAAGTCAGAAATTCTGAAATTGCAGGGACCACCAGGTCTGAAGCCTGTAATCAATCACCGTGAAATCAGGGTAAGTACCCTGATAAAATCAGCCCTGGAAAAGCCCTCCAATTTGTTCCCCGTGTGTATATTATACCAACAAGAAGAAATAAATAAAAAATTACATGAAGTAGGTACAGGATAGGCGTTGGGGTTATAACAAACTAGAAGCCCCATGTGTAATTTCAACTTCTAATAATTGGCAGTTATCAAGCAATTCACTTGACTCAGTTCACAACTGTTGCTATTGCTGTCAAATGCGGAGTCTGCTGCCCTCAGTAATTACTGGTGCATTGCCAGCCTTTTTTACAGATGTGTGCATACTGTTTGCCCAAAAAATGTGCAGCTCCATTGCCTGCAAATTCTTATCCACCACCTTTTGGGCATGCATGCCCGGTGATGTGCTTGGTGAAATCTCATCCATCACCACAGCCTAATGCACAAGGCACACCCTCCTAAAATCGAGCCTTTTATCATCCCATGAGGACAACACCTGACACCGCAACTGAAGGAGAGGAGAAGGTTGAGGTCCTTCGTGCCACCCCCATATCATCAGCGCCACGTCAGCCTGCTATGGGATGGATGCCGGTGCACAAACTGAAGAAGGCTCTGACCGTGGCTGACACGGTAGCTCATGAAGGCATCCTGGTCTCTCGTTGTCCATTCCCCCAACCATTCTCCTGTTGACAGCTAATTATTGGCAGTGGAGGCCCTGGCGGATGGAAGGACCCTTTTTCCTTGCAGTTCACACAGAGGATTCTGGGTTGGCTGCTGGTGCTGTTGCTGCAGCTTCTGTGGTTTAGCCTGTGGCGGTTGCTGCTACTGGTGATCGTGCTGCTGACCGTTCGGCTGTTGCTGCTGGAATCGCTGCTGTAGGCGTTGTCCAACAGGGGCAGAGGGACCACACATGCCAACAGCAGTGAACTGCACGTCACTGTGCCACTGCTCGTCCATGGCTTGTGCCTTGGGCGCTTCAAACGGGTCTGCATTGCTCAACACCAAACTCCCCACTGCCTCTGTGCTCCATGCACTCGCAGACTGGTCCCATGCCGCCTGCACTGCTGTGCTACCATGCGGCTCATCCCATGGCGGACCCAACACCGCTTCATGCACCTGTTGCTGATTCATCCCACGCAGCAGCCCTCCAGTGTGCATCAAACCATCGAGCACCTCATTCTCCAGTGCATCATATGGAGATGCCCCATGCTCTCGTGGTGGCCGTTGCTTGTCTGCATGGTCTGGCAGCCCGGGAAACATCGCCTCCAGCGCAGTGAGGACATGATGAGCCCCTTCACTTAGCTGACCCTCTTGGAAAGAATCGTCCCACGAGAAGGGTGTTGCTGAAGAACGATGAGGTGCAAGCAGATCGGAAGGTTTGCTGGCCTCTTCTGCCTCGAATACAGGTTGAGGAGAGGTACTGCAATCCAAGAGCCTGCAACTGCCGCTGCCACTGCCGCTGCCGCTGCTGCTGCAGCCACTGCTGCTACTGCCACCGCTGCTACTGCTACCACTAGCCATGGATGTTGCTTCCACTCGCACCATTGCTTGACTTGACATGCCTTGACGTGGGGGGCTACTGCGGTGAGCCATGGCTGCTGAGAGGGGCATGGCAGCAGTGATGGCCCACGACTGTAGCGGGTGTGAGGCGGCAGGAAGATACTGAGGTGGTTTCTCGTCCTGCGTCGACTGCTTCTGAAGCACCAACTGTTGGCGTTGTTGCTCCTGATGCACCTGCTGCTCCACCTGCTGCTGCTCCTTCTGCTCCTTCTGCTGCTGCTGCTGCTGCTGCTGCTGCTGCTGCTGCTGCTGCTGCTGCTGCTGCTGCTGCTGCTGCTGCCCCCGCCACCGCCATTCCCCCTGCGTCTGTGGTGACTGCATTGACGCAATTGGAAACTGGAGCTGTGAATGAAGTGGGTGAGGCGACTGGAAAAAAAAATCCAAATCTTCTAAGCGAAATTCCCCGTCAGATTTGATTTCAGTTCCAAAATCCATTTCCTCCTGCGCTATTCCCTTTCCAGTCACGGCCTCTAAACCTCCACTGTTCACCTCTTCCAGAAAAACGTCCTCCTGCCTGCATTCCTCCTTCACACCAGCACCAGCACCAGCAACAGCAACCAGCATGCTGTCTATGCCCTTTGTGAAACGCCCATCGTGCTCCAAGCCTGCAGAACACGGCTCTCTGGATAGAAACATGGCCGGAGGGATGGAGAGAATGGATGCAGGCGCGGAGGCAGACGAGGTGGAAGGGCCAGCTCTGCTCGAGCTGCTTCCACTGACTGTGCTGCTGTCTGCGCATGTCGTGAGCCCAACCACGTCCGTGTCCGATATCGCTTGTGCTGTAGCTTCAGCTTTGCAACCTGCTGTCTGTGCAACCATAGCAATTGCCTCTCCATACGCACTTTGCCAAACTCTGTTTTCACCCAATCGCCCAGCTGCCCCCTCTGCCACCGGCTTTCCTTGCATGACCTGCTCGGCAGATATCCTCCCCTCCAGGTTACAAGTCGGTTCCATAATTTTCTCTGCAGAAGCTTCCTCATTCTTCATTATCGCTCGTGCTGCAGGTTCCTGCCCTGCGGTTCCTTCGACCCCCAGAATCAGCTCTGGAAAGTTAAGCTTTGTCTTCTTCCCTCGAATCTGCACCGCGGCTCGATCAAACGCCATGGCAGCTTCCTCTGCAGTGGCAAACGTCCCCAGCCACTTGCGCACGCCGAAAGTCGTGTCTTTAATTTCGGCGATGAACCGACCCTCGCCTCGCTTCCTCACTCCACGGTACTTCCCTGGTTGGGTATAGTTCCGGCTGCGTGTGGTGCGCTTGCGTGTCGTCTCCGATTCAGATTGCCTTGCGACATCTTTTGTGACGGCTTGCGTCTGACCCTGCAGAAGAGGCTGTAGCTGCGCAGACAATTGGTCCAATCTGATCTGGGCTTGTGGTTGCTGCACTGAATGAGCCTCCAATTGTAGCTGTGGCTCCTGCTGCTGTTGAATCTGCTGTTGCAGAGTGTCTTGCACCCATTGTAATTGCGGCTGGAATGGCAGGTGCCCTCTTGGAATTGAAGCCGAAGCTGATTCAGGGACAACCTCAGGTTTGGACTGACTGTAGGGCTGTGTCACCAGCGGTGTTTGCCCATGGCCGAACTGGTCAGCTCCCAAGGTGGTAAGCAGCTGGTGCATGTGCCCCTGCCGCTGCCCCTGTCCCTGCCCCGGTTTCTGTTGTTGCTGCTGCTGCTGCCCGTTCCACTGCCCCTCCTGCTGCTGATCATGCTGCTGCTGCTGCGGCTGCGCTTGCATAGGCATCTGCTGCTGCGCGTGCCCCTGCCCCTGCTGCTGCTGCTGCTGCTGCTGCTTCGCCGCCTGCTGCGCCAACTGTTTCCACCCCGAACCCCAGGGTGGGGTCCCGGAGGCTAGTATCGCAGGTAGTGCAGCCTTCATGCTATCTCTGTTCACGTTCAACGCGCTAATACCATTGAATGCTGTCAGAGAGCTTGCCTCCATGATGTGCCGCGTGCCACGAGGGTGAGCCTCCAATGACCATGACGGTGCTGCTGGATCGCTCTTGGTTTGTTGGTCGTATAAGAGCTTTTGGTCCTCTTGCCGCGCGCGCTGCATCGCTCCAGCAACTTGATTTTGGCGCTGCCCGTCAGCGTGGGGGCCAGGCTGCGTTGGCACACGCTTCTCGTCCATGCTGCATTTATTGATAACTGAATTGGTGTTTCGGCCCGCAATCATGACTGAGATCTATTTATTTCGAAGATGTCGGTTATACAACGTCTACCTTACGCTTCGACTTCGCATGTGTGCATGAGATCCGCCGCGTTAATACAGGCGACGCGACTGACTCGCAGCTACTGCCGCGTACTCCCGGATACGCACCGGCGGTGATTTTTGAGTCCGACTCAAAATTCTACTTAGAGCTAGTAACTGTCCAATTGGCTGGTGAGAGTGAAACAGAAGTGCTGCGTTGAGTCGTGTCTCCACCGCGTGAACGACCAGTACCACTTTCAGTCAAAACCGTGTTGACTAGTAGCACTTGGAGCACCTGTTGACTTAGCTCTTGGAGTACCTTTTGATGGAGCACAGATTGGCCTTCCCGTGTGGAGGAAGGTTTTAGACAAGGATGGTTGTGAGGGGGGGGTCAGAGGGAGGGAGTGTTGGGTACCTTGAAATGGTTCAGGATGGCAGGTCTTTTTCCCTGTTGGCCTTCATTTCAGAGTGAGTTTTGTACACCATCCTAGAAATACATTATTCGCGAACTGTACCACCCTCTTTGGGGGCTGGACTTTACAGTAGAAACTACTTTTACCGGTCCTTCATGTCTTGTGCGTCCACCCACCCCCCTGGCTAGGGACATACGTACCAAACCCTCTCTCCCACGCAACCCTCCCTCACTCATTCCGTTTTCCATTTCTCGACCTTTCGGTCGCAGTCCCGGTATGTTCATGTGAAAGAAAAGCGGCATTCATGTGTTCGCTAAAGCTCCGCGCCTGTAACAAAGAAGTAGCACAGAAAAGCACTGAGTAGTTACTTTGGGTCCAGGAAAAAACTTACAACGTGCTGCAATTGCCGTTTGAAATGCTCCAGACAGGTGGAAGGCCGAACTCGGGCACTGATTCGGGAAGCTACTTTTCAAGATAATGACTGCAATAGTGTAGGATTAGGACATAGGATGTTTTTGGGCTTTTTCTGTAAATGTTTTGCGGCCCATTGTTTTCCTGGAGCCTTTTTGAAACCGTGCCCCGAGCAGAGCCGATACAGTGCACCGCGAATTGCACACGCCGTTATTCCTGCCTGCCAGTTCAAACTGTAGTTCGTTGTGGAAGTTCCTCTGATTTTGTTATAAATTTCCAAGCAAGCCACGACATGAGTCTACCCGGACTTCCCAAACAAGCAACCCATCTGTAGGGCGAAATGGGGCAAATATATTGAACCTCTCAAGTGGTGGGTCGCCTCCCCCAAAACTCGTGTTTACACGTGTCCACTTTGTGCCATTTTGCCAGTATGCGCCACATCCCACCACAAAAGGGCGTGTCAGCTTCACTGTGTTGCCCATTTACGAGGCGCCGCCAGCACCAGCCGGATTGAGCGCCGCACCCGTTTCATGGCCCGGCCTAGATACCTGACAGGCAGAAGTTGAATGATCGGATTGGGTAAGAGGGTTTCAGCGGCAAAAGTCAAACTATTCTTCACCAATCAGATGGCCGAACAGTCTTCACTAGCACTTGCACTGGAGTGCACAACACACGAGTCCCTCACTCCCTGGTCCTTCGCGTTTTATTCAGTCACTGTGACAAACTACGGGCAGGAGAAATTGCAACACACTACAGTACAGTGCGAACAATTCAGATGGTTTCGTGGCTCGTCGTGATCAGTGAATACGAAGAGCAACTCACCAGGCAACAATGCTGAACTCAAGAAAGTTCTGTACACTTCCAGACAAATCAACTGTATCCCCTGGAAGAAGTGGCTGGATCGAAACGTTCGGCACGTGAGGTTGGTCAGAACGTCAACTGTACAAAGCAGGAAAATTATCCTCCCGACAAACGGATTTGAAATGGTCACGAAAATCATCTTCCCTGTCCTACTGGAGTATGGGGTGGCGATCATCAGAAAGTGTATTTGAAACACGTCTAGGAAATCACGAATGAACGGGATGGAGTTCATAACCAGTGCTATAAGGACGTGGGCCCAATCGACTTTGATCGGCGCGATCAGAGGCGATCGAAAACTTCGAGGAAGGCGTGAAGCAGATTTCAGGCAATCAGGGGCATCAGCTGATCGCGATCAGCTGATCGCGCCAACTCAATCAACCGCCTCAAACAGCCTGATCAGACCCGATCAGACACAATCAGCCCCAATCACTTGATTGCATGTGATCGGCGACCTGGGCGACGTACGCGAAATGTAGCACGCCTCGCCATTAGGTCTCGAAAATCCTTGCGAATACACCCAGATCCGCGAGAACTGTGTGTTGGGACATGATGTTGGCGACATTACCACGATACTGAGATTCATCCGTATCGCCAAAGTTGGGATGCAACTACCAGGTAATGGGCCGACAGTTTTCCTCCAAGAGCGTAAAACATTCGAGGAAAATCATCTCTGATCGGGCGGCGCGAGAAAAACGATCACAAGCAATCCGAACCGACCCAAACCGATCCGATCAGAGCCGATCAAAGTCGATTGGGCCCACGTCCTAATTGCACAAGCGCGAAAGTATCACCCGTGCTTTCTGTACACGACTTGAGACCCGAATTATCAAACTGGATTGTGGGTAGATTGGATCACGAAAGAAAATGGGTTGC